TCAAAAACCCTTAACTAAGTAACTAATATATGGAACCCAATCAAAAGCTATCCTTTTACACTTCTAGTTAGGGGCTTCGTTGTAGGGTAATGGTTAGTAGTCTTGCATACAATTATTAGTAAGTAGTGATTTCGTTCATCACTGGATACTGAAAAATACTAAACCATAACTCTCAATATGTATTTAATTTTTTTTCAAAGAACTCTGCCGTCAATACCATGACACTTATTTCAATCGAATTCACCCCATGCAAGGAAGTAAAGCCACTACGACACAATGGTTTGGTTTGTTTTACGGCATATCAACCTCAATGGGTTATTTAATGCTCACAAGATTTTATTGTGGGTAATTTTTTTTCAAATGTATTGTTGTATTTCTGCTAATAATTTTTCTTCAAAAATGTATCGCTTGTAATGTTTTTTTTTTTTCAAAAATGGATAGCTGGTAATAATTTTTTCTTCAAAAACTTATTGCTGGTAATATCTATTTTTTTTGTTTTTACAAAGTATTTCTGGTATAAAAATTTATTTTTACACTTACATAGTTAACCCCCAAACTGGGATCAAAACACTATTTGCCCATAGATGGGACACTAACGGGTGCTACCACCCCGGGTCAAGTTGGACCTGGGAACACCAGCAATTAAGAGGTGGTCCCACGCTCCTCAAAACATCCTGATCAGAGGCCTTGCTGTTGAACCTAGTTTATCGTCTTACCCAGGACGCGGATGTAGTTTGTCGGCATACCCAGGACGGAAGACACAATAGGTTACTGGGTTTGAAATAAATAGAAAACAGGAACATTATTAAGAAGTGAGAACAAGAAGAGAAATCAGGAGGGTAGTAGATAACGATTGATATTGCATTTAATTTTGAATATCAAAGTTGGCTGGAAAGGATGGAGCCGGTGAAAAGGTCCACAAGCAAAAAGTGTAAGGAAAGAAACTATTAGCATAGAAATTACACCTAGCCAATTTAACTGTAAATTGATGAGACCTTGTTGCCAGTCTAGTACTAAGTTTAAATTCTTAAACTCTACGTACCATAGTGGAAAGTTCATCTGAACAATTACCATGAATGTATTTATATATAAAAAAAACAAAGCTTAACGCGGTGGGAAAGTGACTGAAGCCGAGATGCCAGGTAAGGACAAATAATATTCCTGCTGATTCTTTGGGTTATCAAGAATCTCTAAATATATAGCAGGAGCACGGACCGTCTGTAGCCGCAATTGCTTAAAATAACGTTTCTTTCTTTAAACCAGAAGAAAAAGATGTTTGTTTTGGCATATTAAATTTTATATATAAATCGAGTTCCAATTTTTTCTTTCACTGGTTAAATTTCTTAAAAAAAATGGTATCATTTACTTTTCATGTCACAGACAAACGCAGCGAGTAAAATTCTATATAAAATAAGTATCACTTTTTCGGTTTCTTTTGATGTGTGTTGATTTTGAAGAGTCTAGTTTATCTTTGGGCGTTCTTGTGCATTTATGTGTATGATCAAGATTGAATAATTTACATCTAAAACTAAGGATTGGACCTCAGCTATACTCTTTCTCTTTAGCACAACTTATATATATTATAGTTTAAAAATCTGGAAGTCAGATGAATCGGCTATCTTGGTTTCAATCTTAGACGATTTTACTAAATGACCTTAACGCGTTTTATTATTGAAAGAAAAAAAAATCACGCTACATTATTATTATTTTCAAAAATAAACAAACGCACGGCGTTGGGTGTAATAGAAAGGGAGGATGGGGGGGAAGAAATAATAATAATAAGAAGAAGAAGAATAAGAAGAATAAGAAGAATAAGAAGAAGAAATTGGTGGGGGGGAGGTAGATTACTTTTTTTTTTTAAATCCAGCCTCATATGCACTTAAAAATTTTTCTGATATTTAAGCAAGGACGTAAGACTTCGGGTTTCTGGTTTAAAAGGTTCTTAAATCCGGAAATGTCATTGCTATTATTTTCTCTTGGCAGAGGTTGCATATATTCTTGTGATTGTTGTATGGTTTTGCCTTTTTAAAAATGTTCAATCTTACAAACGAATCCCTGTTGTTTTTTCTTTTAAATTCTACATATGGCTAACTAGTTTGGTTGAGGACCTAAGATTTGCTAGCTTAACTGACAACCTATAGTTATAACATTTACGTTTAAAAGTACCTTCCGTACACCCTATGTACATTTTATTTCGGCCATAAATATCTGTTACTTCTGTTTTATAAATTATAGCTCTTGTTTTACAAGCTCCATTTAATTCTCCAAGGTTTTTATAACATTGTTGGACTCTACTTTGCACAATAAGAATGTATAATTACTCTCCAAGCTTAACAGAAGAATGACTTGTTCCTCAATAATTAATCATACCTAAGGATCGGAAGCTCATAGAGGGTTATATAATAATATATATATATATATATATATATATATATATATATATATATATATATATATATATATTTCAGGATCATTTTCCAACTTATTCAAGATCTTCGCCTTCTCTAACTTAGCTTTCTCTCCTAGAGTAACAAGTTGCCTCACAGGTTTCAAGTACGATTTCGTTTTCAAGTCTTTTTTCACTTATCTTTGGGCTGTCATAGCTAAACCTCCTCATTCACGTGCGAAAAGTCTTATGGATTGAGTTGGATCTTTTCTAATTGATCTCTTTAGTTCTAAGTTGAAATGATGATTCCTTTTCCTGTTGTGACCCCTGATCCAGTTCTCATTACTGTTGCTTCTTTTATAACCTTATTCACCATTCTCTTGATGGTCTTTGAAGATGGAAGCCAGAGTATGAATGTTGGTATCATTATTGAAGACCTGAATGATCTTTTTCCTCTCACCATTGCTCAGTTGGGAAGACAATGAGGCTGACAGAAAACGATTTTAACCTGTTATCTTTCTAGCTGAATAACGCAAAGTGTTTTCAGTGATTCTTACGACAAAGGGTGTCAAGATGTCTAGACGTCTTATCTGAAAATCTGGCAAAAAGAAGCTCAGTTAGTTTAGTGTGTGTGTGTGTTTTTTTTTTAGATATTAAACATTTTGTACGATGGACAATTATGCTGTTACACGTTTTGGACAATTTTGCTGTTACACCCAGTACCGTGAAACAAACATTTATTATTTAGTCTTTATATTATATACTCAGCAGTATGTGGCTATTCTATAGCGGTCATAGTGGCATAAGACAGCAGTATATGGTGAATATATACACAGGTGTCTATATGTTATGGAGTGGTTTCACAGTGGAGGCTTGTATTTGTACTAAGTCGGTCCTAAAATAGGTTCGACGTACAAAACGTTAGGAACTTGATATAATAGGTAATGACGCAGAGTAATCTAGTTGCGGTCGCTGATACTTTAGTATCCGACTAATGGTCGTCCGGCATCGACTGACTGACCCACTGAGCGACTGACACGTTACTCTTACTACTCCTACTTATTATAGGTAGGAGAGTCTATTAACTATAGAATAGGTGTGTTCCAGTATAACGCTATAATTATGGAGCCGAATGATAAAAAAATGCATTTTAGAGAATTTTTAACATGATCTCTTTTCTGGCTGATGCTCATAAACCAACCTTCTTCCATCGATAACATCAATTATTTCATATCAACATGCTAACTGTCTAATTTTTCGATTGTATTGATCCACTAACGGAGATAGGTTGGCCATTATCAATATGTAGGAATCACTGTGATTTGAAACTGGGACGTAACACCTGGCGCTTTGCAAAATTTTATACAGAATTTATCGGGACAAGAAAAAAAGAAGCGACATTCACCTGCAAACCATTTGTGTGGACAAAACCGAAATTAGCGTTACGATCATACAATTGCCGCCAATTTGTTCAACCCGTAAAAGCTAATGATACTGATGTGAACGCGGGACACCGGTATCAGGTTCGGGGTTAAATAGGTCGGAGTATAGCGGCAGTGTCACAAAAATGCTGAATTCATTTTAATCTTGAATCAACAGCGGCGTTCGTATGTGTTTGTTCAACTCCAAGTGGTGAATATCTAATTAAAACGCAACAAGTTTGTCCTCGGGGTCAGGATTTCGTTTCGGTGATGGCCGTTTTGTAGACAATTGTGTAAAATCGAGCTTTCGGATTTAAACCGTTGTTCGGATTAAGTCGGCGAATGCTTGTGTAAAGAGCAACCAGTGACTGGTTATGGGTGTTGATTAATGAGATACGATGTTGTCGGGCCAAGCAAAAAGGAGAGAAGGTGAGAGACGAAAAAAAGAAACAAGCGCAAGCAGTGAAAATAAATACTACTGTATTCAAAATACATTGAGTCATTTAAGAGACACGGATATACGAATGCCGGGGAAAATGTAAGAATTATATGTACAGGCATACCTCACTCTACGTCGTTAATTAGTTCCAAGAGTTACGACTCAGGTCGAAAACGGCTTAAGTCGAAATAACCACACTATAAACCGAAAATAAGCACTCCCCATTGCCTATTTCAGTACTTGTGATATTTACGTACAGCATTCTGAATAAAATAATTTCCACCTTATCCTCCAGCGATATAGCGTTACACTTAGTATTAACACTTGTATTGTGACTTTCGTATTCTAAATCACAATTGAAATGTAATTGAAAGAACGTCAAGGGAAGAGCACAGATGTACTGTACTGTACTGTACTGATGCGGCATTCACCCTGGGCGGATTGAGCCGGCTTCTTCCTGTTATGAGAAGAAGAATCTTGGGATAAATTACAGAAGTAGGGTACCCAGGCCTACTCGGATAACGTTCTTGCTTGCCGCGGGGTTCCCACAGAGGCAGAGACAGGAACGACCAGAAGCCGCCGGTTACCGATGCAGACGCTCCTTGGATTTTCACCAGAGCCCTTGTTAGCCGGCGTGTGTGTCAGACCTGTGCGCCTTGGGTGGCCCTACCAGGAACGAAGTTCCGGGCGGCATAGCTCTGACACTACTGTTTACACCCCCACCGACTGTGAGGTAAGGGTTGGACTTTGGGGGCTTACAGTACCAGGTGTTCCCAAGCGGTCCCCCATCTAAGTACTGACCTGGCTCTACGATGCTTAACTTCGGTGATCGAACGAGAACCGGTGTTTTCAACGTGATTTGACCGTAAGCAGAGCACAGATGTAAACAAATCTGAATTCAAAATCGGTGTTGGAGCGGAAAACAACGCAAGAGTGCCGCTTGTCGGCAGGAATTTGAAATAAGAACATCTGCTGAACATGCTAATGTTTTTGTTTTTAATGATTTTATGATATGTGTGTGTGTGTGTGTGTGTGTGATTTTAGTTCTTTGACGTTTCTAATATTTTTAACGGCCGACATAAACTAGAGTAAAATGATCTAAGGTGAGTTATTTTTCCATATAATATTTAAGAAAAACCGACGTATCTTCGAAAATGATTTAGCCCGAAACGACTTATGTATATAGATCAGTGAAATGATGAAAGCGACACTTTTACAACCGGGAAAACAGCGCCATTCAGGCTTTTATGATCTTGACACTCTACATCTACCCCAGTTTTGTTATTATCCACGATACATCCTTTTCAAGACGATCTCTTTCTTTGTTGGTTACTCGCTGCTTCTTGCATTGGCTGTGGTAAATTTGCAAACATTCTTTCCTTTGTGTGTCCCCAACATTTCACCTGTCACTTTCTGATAGTTGATTGCAGTTTCTTAATAATTCCTACTCTCCTTAGAATGTCTCCGCCGTTGTCGTGCTCTGCGAATGTTGTCTTCAAAAACAAATCCTTGTTGGATCTCGTCTTCATCTGTGACAAAATTCTTCAGCTGTTACATCCCTATAAAAGACTAGGCCCCACAGAGAGGTCTCGCAATCTTTTCTTTGTTTCTAATGTTATTTTTAGACTTCTTCATCAGTTTCAAGCACTTTTAACAGTTTTAAGCACAATTTAACAATACGATCCTTTTGTTTTATTTCCCTTGTTTTGCTTTGTGTCCTCTCCGCGTTCAATTCCTCAGACATCAACGCTGCATCAACGATAGACAATTTCCTTTTCTTATCTTGCTTTGTTATATAAGGGACAGTTGTTGTAGCGTCGTTTCTAGTAGGAATCAAGAGGGAGATGATCAGGAGGACGCATATCGACTCAGTGGTTAGTGTGGCGTTGCAGCTCAGACCAGGCATCAGGTTCGTTCGTATGGTGCACCTTCTTCTAGTTGAACGCTTTTGGCTTAATGCAAGAAAAAAAAAACCATTGTTTGGTCGGACCGTCACCCAAGAGAAAAAAAAAAACCACAAAAAAACAAGACAAAATTACAGACGTCGGCAAATTTTGTTCCGTTCCCACATTCTCTTAAGGTCCAGCTGTGTGTGAGCGAGGAAAAGTGAGGCGGGGTTCGGGGGCGAACGGTCAAACCGGCAGGGGCCTTCTTTTCGCGTAGCAAGCGAATGAGTGAACGATCCAGTGTTGTTTTCGGTTTCTTATAGCATTCTTTGTCCTGTCATCTTCCGTCTTAAAAAAATGTCATCTATCAAGTCCGCTCCACTCAGCTGACCTCATTTGTCAGGTTCGTTTAACATGGCTCTTCTGAGGTCCGCTTCATTTAGCTGATCTTCTTTGTCAAGACGATAATTGTCAAAAACATTTCTATAACATCCTGAGATGTCTTCTTAACAAGATATCAGCTGAAAACCGATATCGCTATATTGGAATTTCCTCACCACGTGCTTGCTTGCCTCACTACGTAATCTACGTGCGGGCAAACATGTTGACACTTCAAATTGCTGCACTCGTCTCCGTATCTTCGCGCCTTTTTGGTCTTATATATATATATATATTAAAATAAAGAGAAAGAACAGTAAGATTCATAATCCATTGTTCTTATTAATTATTTTTATTTTAAAAAACAGTGCTCAACACAATTCTGCAGAGCATACATATTATAAATTTACTAATTTAAAAATATGGTTCCATCGCTACACAGGAATTAACATGTTTCACACACACATATGAAGAAATATAGTTTTAAGGTGTGCTATATTTACGGGATAAAGTGCTCAATATCAGAGATAAAGGATATATAAATGAAAACATAACAGTGAACATTGAAGTCAACACTCAGAAGCGACAGACCGTTTCATGTTAGACGTGATCGTCAGTCCGCGAATGTTGGATTTTCCTCGATTATTTATATATAAGGTTCAGTGGTGCATTGTGGGTAATCCATTCTGGTGGTTACTTTGGCTGGAGTGGCTTGTTTATTTATTTATTTGGGTTAATTTATTTTACTCGTTTTTATTTTCTTTTTATTTTATATATTCATTTCTTCTTTTCGGTTTTCTATGTTTTATTAACGTGGTAAAAAAAATTGGGGGGATTTTCTTAGGTCGCTTGTTTATTTCTATTAGTTCTAAAGTTTATTTTAGCGGGAGCGATTTGTAATTTGTTTATTTATTTAGGATTAATTTTTACTTTTTTTTTTCTTATTTATTTGCTTACTTTTTATTTATTTTTTATTTTGTATATTTTTATATACTCTATTCGGTTTTCGATTTTTGAGTAACGTAGTAATTTTTTATCGTTTTATAGCAGTCCTAACTATTTTCTCGTCCAATTTTTGGATAGATTGTTGAAGTCTATTCTAACGGTTATTTTGGAGGGATTGGTTTGTTGAGTTGTTTATTGTTTACTTTATTCAGATTGATTATTTTTACTTGTATTTTATATATATAACATATACGCAGATCATATAAACATATACATTAAAAAATTAATACAGATAAATTAATTATAGAATTAAAAAATAAAAGCTAAAATTAAAAAAAATTAAAGTCAAGCGCACAGAGTTTTCTGACCATTAGTCTGCAATTCCGAGTCAGCCTAGGCATTCTGTAGCACACTACATTGAAAAGTTAAAATAAACACTTTTCCCGGCTAAATTATGATATGCTACGATAATTATTCCTTCAATGCAATAGATTTGCTTGCCAAATCCAAAGAAGAATCAGTAATATTATTACTTCTGGCCTCGCGTTTCGGCTTCAGTCACTTTCCCGCCAAGGTAATTTCTTGGTGCCTTTACTATAAATACTTTCATGATTACTGTTCGGATGAACATCGCTATGGTACCTAGGCTATGAATTTAAGCGCAGTACTACTAGATTGGCGGCAATGTCTTATCAATTCACAGTTGTAACCGTAAGTTCTATTCTAATAGTTTCTTTTCCCGCACTTCTCACTTGTGGAACTCTCTTCCGGCTCCATGCTCTCCAACCAACTTCAATCTTCAAAAAATTTAAATGCAATGTCAATCGTTACCCTACTTGTATTCTTGATTATTCTTCTATTGTTCTCATTCCTTAATAATGTTTCTTTTTTTTTCTTATTCTTTCACACTCAGTAAACTCCTTGTGTCTTAGTGGCTTTATTGCCTTACTTGGGGTGATATGAGTAAAAAGCAATGCTTGACCTTGAAGCACTCGTCATTTCTGTTCATGAGCAGAAGTAGTTAGGGGAGAATCATGGTCGGGTGTCAAGAGAGATTTTTAAAAACCTTTCAAGTGTGGGGGAACCAAGGCGACTTGGGAGTCACATCTAGATACTTTGGAACACCCTAAATCGAAGAGAGTCTTAGCAGACTGGATTAATCAACCTGGATCTAACTGGGCCCCAGAAAACCTGTCATCATATCGTTCACATTTGGCTGTGATGCATGTGCCTGGTGTACTCTTATCAAATTGGGTCTCATGATGGGTAGATTGAGTTTCGAGTATTTTTTACCTTAGTGTCAATTTTTTGGCATGACTATCACTCATTGTTAACATTGTTGTAGATGAAAAGGATAAAGAATTGAAGATTGTATGGATGAAAAAAAGGTGGAAGAGGAGAGGGGGTAGGTGGAAGAAAATTAGAATGGTTGAGAAAAAGGTAAAAGAGTGGAGGAGGAATAGGCGAAAGATAGGAGGAAAAAAGCGAAAGAGGGGTGGGGGAAGAAAAGCGATGGTAGAGGAAAAGGCAAAAAGGGATAGTGGGGGAAAAGGCAAAAAGGAGGTAGAGGAAATAGAGAGAGAGGGTGATTGAGAAAAATGCGAAATAGAGGAGGAGAAAAATGCAAAAGAAAGGTGGAGAAAAACGAGAGGGAGGGGAAGAGGGAAAGGTGAAAGAGGGGAGATTAAAAATGAAAAAGTGGGGGAGGAAAAAGAGAAAGATGGGGTGGAGGGACGAAAAGGTGAAAGATGGGGTGGAGGGACGAAAAGGTGAAAGATGGGGTGGAGGGACGAAAAGGTGAAAGATGGGGTGGAGGGACGAAAAGGTGAAAGATGGGGTGGAGGGACGAAAAGGTGAAAGTTAAGGTGAAGGACGAAAAGATGGGGTGAAGGAAAAGGTGAAAGAGGGGGGCGGGCGAAGGAAAAGGTGAAAGAGGGGGGCGGACGATGAGATGAGAAAGAAGAGAGTGTAGAGTCGAAAAGAAAGAAAAGAGATTGTGCAGCAGTTGAAAAGTAAGGTGAAGATGGTTCTTTTTCATTTTCAAAACAAAGATTTTGCAGACGATTAACGAAGAAGACAATAATAAGAAAAATGATGAGTGAGCAAAACAACAAAGAAGGAAAGGAAAATTTTTAATTAGAAAAAAAAGAAAAGGAAAAAAAGAAAACTTTACGTGGAAGACGAAAAATAGGATAAAGAAAAAGACGAAAAAGTTTGAATGCAGAAAAATTCTTGAGAATGTAAAAGAAAACAAAAAAGCAAAAAGAAACAGGAACGGAGAAACGTTGATAAAAAAGAAGAGAATGAATGAGAGGGAGAGAGAGAGGAAAAAGAGAGAGGAAGCAAAAACGAAAGAGAGAGAAGAACGAAAGAGAGAGAAGAAAAAGATGAAAAGATAAAGAGTGAAAGAAAAAGAAAGAGAGACAAAAAGAAAGAGAATGAAAGAAAGAAAGAAAGTTCAAATAAAGCAACGAAGAATGTTATGACAGGTCTATGAAATCTTCTCTTTTGAGCTTCCCGACTCCCACCCGCCAACCCGACGCCCTACCGAAATGCGTTTGCTAACAGGTGCGCTAGAGTTTGCCGAAGAAATCAAAGAAAGTTGCAGGTATCCGCTGTGTTGACGTAGTCGGCTTAATTACCTATCATCAGAGTCAAGTCGTCGTCGTCAGTGCCGCTCGTTCAGGCCGTTTGCTATCTTAGCTCCGTTTCCGCATGTCCACATAAACAGTTGCTTTCTTTCTGATCCATTCCCACTCCAGCGCGACGAAAAATTTACTCACCCCGCCCGACGCTATCGAGTAAGCTACTAGCAACAACAATCACTGATATTCCTGTGAGGATCGAACACAGTCCTAATGGTTTACTCGACTTGTTCGCTAACATTACCGTCTTGTTAGGTAACTTATAGGTATTTACTTTGATTTTTGTATGAAACGAATCATATAAAAATCACAAATCTGTCGCACCTAGTGAGAATCAAACTCACTACTCACTGCATCCTCAATGTCACATGCTGCCCGATTAGCTTTCTGAATAGCACACCTAATTTAGCGAGAGGAATAATGTTTATTAAAATGTTTGTTTTCTTTCGTTCTCACTTGTTCCCTCACACATTCTCTCATACATAACCACATACATAAACAACGATTAAGTACAATGTTTCTTGAATTTTGTAACATTTCGTTGACGGTAACGTCGTCAGCATTTTAAACAATTGCCGATTTTCACTAAGGAAGATCATAAGTGTAAGAACTTTTGCTTCAGAAACAAGAAAAATTAATGACAATTATTTTTCTCTAGAGAATAAATACGTTTCTTTTTTTTTCACAAATATTTTCGTATTTTCAAATGAATAAATTAGAAACAAAAAAAGCAGCAGTGTGTGTTAATCACTGTCATCAACGAAAATATTCTATGAAGGAAAAAAAAATCGATTTTTCCCATTTCTCAGACACGTCCTGATGCGCATGGTCTTCTGTTTGGAAAAGGGTTGCGGTATTTTCAATGAAAAATTACATTGGTTTTGTTTAGTAGTGTGGCCCGGCTTATGATTTACTGTACATCATACGACCCACTTGTCGAAAAAGTTTACCTATGACGCGATTAACCTATTAAATATGGCCTCTTTGTGAGTTGCCCTAAATGTATTTACTAAGCATAAATGTGTTCAGTGGGGGAGGTTGGATACTGAGTGGAGATCGAACAAACTAAATGGTATTAATGAAATTAATTATCAAACCATGTTGGTGGGGCTTAGAATAAGCCGAGTACATTGCGTGCAGACGGGTAAGAACCTCGCAAAACAAAACATCTTCCGAATAGATACAAGTACAGACGAATATAAACCCGACTGAAACATTTTTCGCTCTAGTGAAAACCTGACCTCCGATTTAGACATTTTTGATGTTCGTACAAAACGGGACCCTATCTTACCTATTTTTCATTCACGTGCAAACCGGGTCCCTAACTTATTCTATGTCCCCTCTGATACAAACCGGACCTCCCTGTTTTACCCTTTATTCATTCTCGGGCAGACCGGGCCCTATATATATATATATATATATATATATATATATATATATATATATATATATATAAGGTGGAGTAATGGATATCGGCTTAGATTGAGGAATCGGAGAGCCGACTTCGATTTCCAGTCGAATCCATTACATTCACTTGCGTGCTAATACCCTTGGGAAAGGTATGAATCCTCTTGTTCTCCCTCCAGCTAAATAGCAGGACAGACTGGGTTCTATAGCCTTGGATGGCAACTGGTCTAAAAGAAAAACAACTCTGAATTCAAAACCTGCAGAGGCTCGTTTGGGGACTCTGTGGCACGTAGTGCACCAGGTCTCTGAATTCGGCCCTTCAAAAAGTGTGGATGGTCCTGCAAGAAACCTTCACCACTATAATCAAATCTCATGTGCTGCTGTCGGTTTCCCTCATACGTCGAATTCGATGGGAGAGTCGAGTATATATATATATATATATATATATATATATATATATATATATATATATATATATATATATATATATATATACACGTATGTATTATTCTTTATTTGGGTGGGGGTGGTTGGTGGAGATGATAATGGTTTTAGTGACAAGTCTTACTAATTAACCCACAGATGGTGGCAGAAGTTGTGGATTTGTACATTTTTCCAAAGGTATTTGCGCGTAAGTAACTATAACGAACCCAACGGGAATTCGAACTCTGCTCTCCGATTAGCAATTCCGAGTCATTATCGATTACACCCCCCACATCTAAACTTACGGCACCCGGTATTTCCAATCAGTCACCCATCTAGGTACTGACCAGATTCGATGTTGCTTAACTTCGGTGATCGTACGGGAACCGATGTTGTGGGAGAGAGAGAAAGGGGGAGAGATTATGTGTCTTATGAAAGTCATCAGTCTTATTAATATTTATGTTTTTCACTGTTCTTATTTTTAGACACTCAAAAAGAAAAAAAAATGCTTAAAAACTTTTTCGAACATACCCTGTTTATTGTTGTGACGGTGTTGAGGGACGGGATACCAATTTCTGGGAGTCGGTGACAAATATAAAGCAATCTGCCATACTGTGCTATTGTCTTTGAAGCAAACATGTAAGCCATCATAAAAGCGATTAACGTGCACTTTGATTTGGTAGCAAGAGCTCTCTCGTACTTCTCCTATCAAGGATATTTTCCAATAAGTAGAAAAAAAAAAGATAAAAAAATTTGTTTCGTCGTATATAATAGCTTCCTCGGAGTATTTTCTTTTGTCTTTTCCCTTTTTTTATTTTTCACAGTTTCTGAAATGTTCAGGAAATAAAAACCCCGTGAGAAATGTATTTTTTGGCCTTGTGTTTCTTGCATTGTTTTTTTGAGGAAGTGATTCATCTCATTCTCTTTCCAACACTGCATACTGAAGATTTACTGTTTCTTTTAATTATTCATTGTGACAACGAAACCGTTTCCAAAACTAATTTCTATTTGTTACATGCGTCTGAAATGGATAATAAAAAATCTGCAAACCCTTTCATAAAAAAAAAAGTAGAAATAATTATGAAGAAGGCCAGACACTTAGGAAGAGAGCGTTTGATGGTGGCTATATAGTGTTCAGATTTGGATAGTGTGTAAATTCATCTCGAGGAGTTTGTAACATTATTTATCATTTCTCAGATGCGCCCCTGTTTTGGGCAGAGTGCACTCAAGAGCGACTCCGTCAAAGGACAGAGTCGAAACTGAGGAAAATTATACTGAGAGGTACCCAACCCTAGAAAACAGCTGCCCGAGGCCGTGCCCTCTCTCATGGCACCAGAAAGAGGGATCAGTACTCGCACCGAGACCAGCGCAAGCGACGGTTGCTGGGGCTGCGGGCAATTTTTGTTCCTGGTCCGGGTTTACGCGCTCCTTAAAAAAAGACCTTGTGTCACAACTCGTCTTAGTGGGAAGACAGAGTAAATATCTAGTGTTCAGAGTTGGGATAAATTAATATTTTTGTTAGGCGATCTCCCTACAATATGCAGGTCATTTTCGTTATTAATATTTTTTCTATTAGTTGAATACCTATCAGTAAAAAAATGCACGCTCATATCTAGAAATATTGTCTAATACTAAATGCAAAAAATAAGAACTAGACGAGATCTCCCTAGACATGAGCAGTGGAACGAGAACTGTCTAACCCCTTAGATTAAATAAAGGGTTCAGTTTGGAATTTCCAGTAGGTAACCAGAGGACACTGCGACCGAAACGTTTTGATAACAACAATAGTCAATAGTCCGAATATAAATAGTGCATCTGTTTATATCACTGAAATGACGTATTATGATTACTTGCATTATTTACATTACTCGTGCCATATTCACAACGTTTCGGCCGTTGAACGCTCCAGCTTTCTTCAGGGTTGAACCCTTTATTTCGCCCACCGGGGTAGATTGTTCTAGTTCCACGTGCCATGCCTCTTCCGGATGTCTCAGTTATTTCTCTTTAACTCAACTCTCAAATTCAACTCCGCTGTGGCCTGGTATCGAACTCACAACACTTTGGGTCTAGTCACTGGATCTAACCAACGTCTTTATCCACTGGGCCATGTGTCCTCACAGCAGCGGTGAACCCAAAACTTGGAGAGTTGAGTTAAATGGAAATTCGAGATTCCAATCACCTGAAGAAGGCCAGAGCGTACAACGGCCGAAACATTGTGAATATGGCAATGAAGAGGAGGATAACAGTCCGAGTAATGTAAATAATGTAAGTAAATAAATAGTGTAAATAACTTCAAAACAGGTTTTCCAAATAGTTGAACATATTTGGCATTTTGTCGAATTCTTATCCGAAAGTTAATTATAATAAATCTATTGTCGCTGATGGCGTCTAAAAATGTCACTTTCTTTTTTCTGTTCTGAGCACGAAATAAAGGAAAATCTTTAGGCCTGAACCCATTTGACTTTCTCTTCATGTGTAATTTTTGACAGTATGTTCTCTATCGTTATTTACTTTGGAGGGGAAATAGTCTAATTTGGTGGTCTATAAGGTGGTTAGGGAAGCCATTATTAATAATTCTGGTATGGTCTTTTTAGGAAGTTTTTTTTATTACCGCTATTTTGTATCTGAGTGGGCATTTACTTTTAAAGTTAAGGTGCCGAGAGATTTCTACTAGTGGGTTTTTTATATAATGTGGAAAGTGAAAGGCATTATCTTAGCTTTTGAAAGTTTTCTAAGCATTAGAATCATCATACTACAGTTTATAATTTTTTCATTTTTTTAATCGGTATCGCCCCATGCAAGGCAGTAAAGTCACTAAGACACAAGGGGTTACAGGTTGTGGAAGAATTAGAAACAGACACATTAATAAAAAGCAGGAAGAGAGGAGAGTAATCAGGAGGACAGCAGATAGCGATTAACATTGCAATGAAATTTTTTAAACGTTGGCGGGAAAACATGGTAACGGAAGGGAGTTCCACAAACGAGAATTTCGAGAGAAGAAACTGTTAGCATAGAACTTACGGTTACATCTAGCTAACTCAACTGTAAATTGATGAGATATCGATGCCTGTCTAGGACTGCGCTTTAAAGTTTAGGTATCATCACGGAGAGCACACCCAAACAATTATCATGAAAGTATTTATAGAAAAGACAGAGAGAGTGAGATAACCTTAAGATGGCGGGGAAGTGACTGAAGCCGAACCACCAGATCAGGACCAATAATATTGCTGATTCTTCTTTGGATTTTATAAAGGGGCTCAGAGTAAATATCAGAGATACCGGACATTATGTGGCAGCAATATTCTAAGCAAGGACGAATAGAAGATAGATTTTAGGGAGAAAAATGATCTCGTCCGATACAGTGAGCCAATGGATTCAATATAGTTTTTCCACGTCATGTCAGCTGAAAATGTTAACACGAAAAGGCGAGTAATTTTCCTGGCGGATAGCATCAGCCATGCAGATTTGATTGCCCAAACAATAAAAATAAAGAGTAAAGATCAAAAGACACTTCGGGGGTTTCGATAATTATGTGCAAAAGATGGTGCCGTGGTTTTGTGCGTCAGCCTATGAACTCCGTAGATGTGCGGTTTGCGGAAATGTTAATGGCGCGAAACGTGGAATCAAAGAACCGAGTTGACATTGCATATTTCCTGTACTACGTTCACTTTGTCATTAATACCTTTGGGAAATGCATGGCTTCCTCACTTCACCCTCAAGCTATTAGTTGTGCTACTTAATGACAAAATCATTTAAAAAAATGTATTTATTATATGAGGTTGTCACACAGGAAATGACGCAGTTTTGTTTGATTGCTAATCCGGTCACTTAACGAAATAACCTCCTTAGTATATATAAAAAAACATCTTGACTTATTCGCGATTCTTTTTTTTCCAGATAATTTTTCTTTCAATATATTGTTACTTATAAGCCCAATGAAAATGATTACAATGAAACAATGTTGAGTAATCTTACTTTATGATTACAGACTGGGTTATTCTACCTCTGAAGCATTTCAGAACATCAAGGCGGCCTTTGGTAATGGTATTGTTGAAATCAGAACTATACAGAGATATTTTCGGAAGTTTTGTTCGGGAGATTATAGTCTTGAAAATAAGCCAAGGGAAAGACCATGATCTGTTATCAGACGATCAATTGAATCTTTTGGTTGATCAAAATCCAAAAACTACAGTCCAAAAACTTGCATCAGAATGCAAAACATCATAAATTTGGCTCTACAGAAGGATGATGAAAATCTATTAATTATATAATTTTATTATTTTTATGTGATTGGAGTGTGCCAGGTTATACTTAAACAAGTTAATAGTATCTTTATTGTAATTTAAGAAAAGAGTATTGAGCTACTACATGGCATCTGTCCTCCTTTACGGCAGCGAATGTTGAACGGTTTCCTCAAAAATGAAAAAGAGACTCGAAGTAACAGAGGTATGGTTCTACAGAAGGATGCTGAGGATATCATGGACCGAGCGTGTGAGCAACGATGACGTTTTGGAGAGGATGTCAACAAGGAGGAAGATTATACTTAACACCAGGAAGAGGCAGGTGAAATTTCTGGGACACGTAATGAGAAAGGAAGGCTTGGAGAATCTGATACTCACAGGTCGAATAGAGGGAAATAGAGACAAGGGAAAGCAACGCATGACATACCTGGTAGGCTTAAGCAAGTGGATGACAGAACATGGTCTGGGGGAGGTGGCAGAGGGACGAAACTTATTGAGAACTACAAGGGATAGGGGGTGGGGAAGTGGAGAGCCATGATCGCCTACGTCCTGAAGAAGCCATGATTAGTTGTCTCTTAAAATATTATGGCGGAGCTTCAGAATATGCACTTTGACTAGAAATAAGCATTTTTTTTTTCAAATTTTCTTTTTCATATTATAGATAAAGCACTCCAGATCAGAAATAGACATTTTTTTTCTTACAATTTTACAAATGTTAATAAGGGGGGGGGCAGTTTGCTATACAATTCACTGTAAAAGAACAAATATGCTGATTCTCTCCATTTCTAAGCAGCTGCAAAATAACATTTTATCATATATTTTTCAAAACTAAACGTTTAAGCAATCCAAATTCTTATTCTTCAATGTGACATGTCCTTTCATCACATAGGTGATCATGGCCCTCCAAAACTTCCTATCTCGTGTGACTCTTAGCAGGTTTTCTCCCTTTGTTATGGTTCCCGCGCCCAGTTTCGTCAACCATCCACACAAGCTCGTTGGTTAAATGGCTCGTTGCCTTCGCCTGTCTTGCCCTCAATATGTCCCGTGAGGGTGAGGTCTTCCAAGCCCTCCTTTCACATTATGTATCCGAAGAATTTCACCTCTCTCCGTGATTCTGAGTAGAAGATGTTCGTTCGGGTGCCATTTTCTTTAAG